TTTAAGAGCATAATCAATAAACCACTGTAAAGCCAGCAACAACTCAACAAATAAGCCATAAAGATAGAAAATACTGTCACCAACAGCCTCTCCTTAAACTGCATGCTTTCCTCATTTATCTGACTATTTGCAAAACACAGCTGTGAACAAGGTGCTGTTCTGCACCTTAGGACTGTCCTGCAGAACAGCCTGCAGGCTGGGTCAGCTGCAGAAGTAGAGAAAGGCTGAGCCACCATCACCGTCACAGGGAGGAGGAAAGATGACACAATGCTCGTAGAGGACATAAAGAAGGTTTTAGCCCTTAGCTTGCAGGTCTCCCCTCTCATACGTACATGGTAATTGCAGGAATATGTTGAGATAGAGGCTCAGGGGGGAGAAGTTATTTTCCAGCCAGCTCTTTGCCCTGCATTTGAAAACTTTTCCTTGGCTTCTTCCTGCCCAGCAGCTTGGAGAGCTGCACAAAGCCTGCAAGCAGCTCGTGGTGGGTCACTGGAAGCCAGAGAAGGTCTCTGGGTGGCAGTGATTACTGGGTGTGCCTTGTATGAAGATCAACTTTGTGTCTCTTCTCCATTGTGTCTCCTAAGAGCTGAACAGTGAACTGGAATAGGGAGCAGAGCTTTCCTTGGAGAAGGGAGCACATGTGGGAAGGTGATGCTTTGCCATCAGGATTTTAAAGGGAAAGAGAGAAAGCATATGCTGTCTCCAGAACCAAACACTAAGTATGCAACAGTTGATCTAATGCCTTAAATTATTCATCTACACACGTGAATTGGAGAGAGTCTTGTCCTAAATCTGCAGCATGGTAGACAGCAGTGCTGCAGAAAAGGGGCACACAGCTGCACAGGATACGGGGTGCAGATGGCAGTGGTGATACTGCTGCTGAGAGAGGAGGCAAAGGAAAAGTTGTTTTATGGGGCTGAGTCACAGTACTGCCCAGACCTTGTCTGTAAGCAGGGTTAGAGCAGGTGGGAGAATGACTGGGGACAAATCTCACTGCTTTGGATGTCTCTGGCCAGCAGAGCAGCAGGTCATTGGCTGTGGGCAAAACTTTAGCAGAGAGAACGTGGAGCAGGGCAGGAGCTTGGTGCTGACTCTCTAGAGAGGCCATAAAATAAAGTTGTGAAAATAGAGAAGTGTGGCAAAGGGCCACTGCATTATGACAATTCTCCGCAACTGGAATTTGGATTGTGAGCAAAATATGCTGGGAGTGCCTTATCTGCTTTGTAAAATTTGTATGTATTCGTGGAGGTATGCAAGATAAGGGAATGGCAGATAAACAGATTATTTTGCTTAAGCCACTGTAATACAGGTTTTTCACAGCTTGCTGTGCACGAGCAGATGAAAAAAGACTGAGAAGCAATGCAAGTATTTGAAATGTGTTTTTACAGAGATTGCATTATCTGCTGGATTGGATGTTTGCAATTGCACTGTGGCTAATTCAGCCTCTCCCTGCAGCTCTCCCAAGGCTGAGTGCTGCTGCTGGACAAGTACTGTGCAAGATAAAATGTGCTTTGCATTGTATCCCACTTCAGGCAGGTCCTGTATAAGCGTAATTTCTGCAAGCATCCCTCTTTTAAGCTAATTAAACTCCTTGCCCTGTGCTGCGTTGTCAGTGCTGTGCTGCTGCGTGTTGTCTCAGCACCAGTGGGTGCTATAGTTACGGGTTTATCCCAGCGGCTGTTTCCCCCTATAAGAGAACAGCTCAGAGAGGTAAATGATGCAGGGCTGGAGCTGAAAGTGCAACAACAATGCCTGGCCCTGAAACTGGGCTCTGTCTGTAGCTGAGAAATAGTTTCTGTTAAGTTATAATAGGAGCAAACACCAAAGTTTCTCTGAGTCAGGATTCTGATCTCATGATTGCTGTTCAATCACATTGTTTTTAAGTGAGTTTGGGTGGTCTTTTAAATCTGGAAACCAAGTTTAGGTGCAGTCCTCAAGCCAAACTCATAATCAAGGTTAGGGCAAATTGTCCTAAGAGGAGTTAGTCAGAGCCCATAGTTGGCTCTGGGAAGTCTATAAGGCACTGTTTATCTGTGCATTTACAGTCCTGGAATTATCCATAGCCCTCGGGGAGTCTCTGAAATCCAGGTGAGCCCTGGCAGCCCATGAGGACCCAGAGCTCCTCCCAGCCTATGTGTATGTTCTCACCTGGAGGGCAGGCAGCGCGCAGCGCCCGGGTGAGAGAACTTCTGGCCAGAGTTGTGGGTTAAATCCAGGTCATGATATGTATTCAGCTAGTTTGCTTGTAATTTCTTTGGCAAGGAGTTGGGGATGTGCACACGTGCATAGATTCACATATGCTTTCCATCTCCTCCTGTGTGGAAGCAGGCACAGCTCCTGTTTTTCCTGTGTAGGATCTGTGATCTATTCTGGTAGCTGCATGGTGCGGTACTGCCTCCAGTAAATATTCACAGATTTCCTTGTAAACTCAAGCTTTTTTTTTTTTTCCTTCTCTCCTGTGTGGATACACAAAAGCATGTGTTGTACCTGCTTTACCCTGTGGGATCTACATAATCAGTCCATGGGTTTTAATGGATTTCAACTCCCTTCTGCCTATAGATACGGTTTCCTGTCTTATTTTGAGCAGGAAGAGCGGAGTCTTTTTTGGTCTTAGCATTCCTGCTTGCCCGGGTTTTGGGAAGAGTTCTCTGGCTATTTTCCCGTTTGATTTTTGTGTGTGTTTTGTTTTAAGCAGGACAGAGTGCATGTGTGTATGTAATCCATGTGCTCAATTAAGAGAGGCATCTGTTGGGTTTATTTCACATTGCCGAGGAAGGACTGCAAGCAGGGAGCATCTGCTCGGCTTTTTGTCAATGGCTTGTTTTTCATAATTTGCTCTACAGGGTGAATGTTTGGGGAGGGGGAGGTGGCTTTTTATTTCTGAGTTTCATCTTAAGTTTATTTTTATGGTAGCCAGGGAAATTGATTGGGATTTGAAAGTTAATTTGCTAAGAAAAGAACTAGGAGGGAGAAACAAAAACCATCCGAAGTAAATAGCGTTTATGTAACCTTAGCGATACGCTCAGAAGGATCCTTATAAGCTATTATTTGCAGTATTTTAATGAGAAAGTAGAAACAAGTTGTTATGGTTCTTCTGTTCATGTCTGCAGATTGGTTTTTTGTTTTGCTTTTTAAACCAGCAAGTTTTGGTTAGATTTTATTTTGGGAAAGATAAGAAAGGAATCCAATGCTAAGATGCTCTTTTGGCATTTTGTCAAAAACAGAAAAAAAGAAAACTTTTTAAAATAGAGCAGCAGTGGTTTCCTGTTCTTACAGTTCTTGCTTTTGTGCATTCAGATGTTGGCTGTGCTGCACCTAGCTGATCTAGTGGGAGGTCTGATTGTCTCTAAATGTATGCATTTCAAAGCCTAATATGCTTGCAGGGAGTGTTTCATACAAGCATGCTTTTTTACACTTCTTGTGGAAACATCCTCCAAAATAGCTGGGGAGGATAATGACTCTGTGATAGCCGGGGAGGATGCTGCTGTTGGTGTAGCATAAGGAAGGCAGGCAGAAAAGGTCTGAAACTCCCTCCAGTCCCATGAGCAAAATACAAATCCCACTCAAACAGGGGTACAGTTCTGCAAGCGTAGATGTAGATGCTGAGCAGGGTGAAAGTTGGGTCTTAGTAAAAATATTTGCAGAAAAGAAGTTAAAAAAAAAAATTAATCTTGCTCTATGAACCTAAAGCCAGTACCCTGAAACGGGATCAAAGCTGTAGCTTCCATATCATAAGTTGTCAAGGAGGGAAACGTTAACAGAAGTAGCTTTCCTGACAGTCCAGTCCCACTCTATGGCAAGTTAATATATATAAATATAACAACATAAATATTTAAATCATATATGTTTATGACTTAAACATCACATATCATGGTATAAATAACGTGTCTGTCAGATGCATACTACTCAGCTGAACAGCTCTGCTGACAGCAGTCAATGGTTATAAAAGGTGCCTACAGCAGCTGGTATGCAAAATGAGATGTGGGGCTGCCTGGGAGGAATGGGTGGACAAGCTCACTTATAGGGCTGCAGGTAATTTTGGCTGCCAAAAAATCATGGAACCTGAAGCGTAAAGGACAAACCACAATGAACTCTGTGGTAGCAGGAAAGTATTTTCATTGCTTGAAAAAAAAAAATAAAATTCAAACTTTGTCATCACATTAAAAACATTACATGAGAAGTAATAAACATATTTACACTTCTGTTTTGATTATAAATATACATTATATACAAAATAATGTTATAAAATGTAGAAAGTTCAGTGCTTCTGATTTTTTTTTTTAAATTACTGAAATACTAGTCTTCAAAATAAACTACAAACAGATGAACTAAAACCCATATTATTGATTTCTGAAGGTCATCTTCCAAATGGTCCTACACGGTCAGAGCAGAAGGTCAGTAGTGGACATTACAAAGGGGTCTTGTCTGCACAGTTCAAGGCAGTAGGTGGGCTAGTCCAACAGGATTTACAAGGGCAGAGATATCACTGTCCAAGAGATGGTATGATGCAGGTTTCTTCAAAGAGATCTCATTTCCTCCTTCCTCATTCTGCCCCACCACACAGTCTCATCTCATTACTGTCACAGCACTTTCCACTGGGGTGTCCAATATTATTGCTGTCAATGCTTAGTAAGTTTCTGCAGGCCTCTGCTGTCCAGGGCAGCGTTCTCCTTCCCCATACAGCAGTGGGCAGGTGTGAAAGAAATGGGACAAGCCTAGAACCTTCTCACTCTGTTCTCCACCTGTCTTGGTGGAGGGCATCTCAGTGGGTGCTTTGATATTGGGCACTTTGAACCAGGATGAAGGACAGAATCAGCGATTTACAACCAGATGGAGAAATAGGGGGATGACACTGCTGCTTCTCCTTTGGAAATGAACTCTGAGACCATTTGCAGAAGAAGGTGGCACCTAAGTCAGAAATAGAACATAAACCCCCAAATCTGTGTCATAATAAGGGGGCTAAGGGAGAGAATGAGGAAGGGAAAAGAACGTCTATTCACAATTGCTGGTAGTGCAAAGGGCGTGAGAACAGCTGAGACAGTTCAGCACATACAAGGTTCTAGGAGCTGATTGATTTTAAACGCAAATGTAAGGCTTTAAATAGGATTGGGATCATGTCTCTCCTCATTATCAATGGGAAACAGGCAGTAGACATTCTTATCACATCTTTCCCTTCTCAAATGCTTAAATCCAGGAAAATCCTGTGTCCCATGTTGTGGCTTGGATCAATCAGTTCTCCAGAGCATCACCAAATGCAATGACATGTAAATTTAGTCCCCCTCTTTCCTTCCTCCTCTTGCCCCTTGAATCGTCTCCAGTACATGCAGCAGGAGAGAAGAGATGCAAATGGACACGTAGCAGGAAGTATCAATCACCCCTGCCCAATACTGCTCAGGTAACTGCAAGAAGAGCAGTCGAGTCTCTGTTTGGGCTCATTAGATTCTCTTGACAGATTTTAGGCACTTTTAAACCCATTAAAAAAAAAAAATGTGGAGACCTCATTTATACTGTATCCATTATCTGCACAGCAATGCACCTTTCTTCACACCTTCCACGGCAACATCTGTGATAGTTAAGTGCCTCCTCACCTACCAGCACCTCCCATACCAAAGTTCTGGAAAGCCACAGGTCTGTCCATGAGGAACTGGCCTCAGTATCTTTCAAAGGCAAATCGAAAGTTAACATGTTTAACCCCTCTCTCTTCCCTCTGCCTCCCTTCATCTATAGCCAGTGAGATTTCTGGCATCAAATGTCAAACAAGAGCGGAAAGAATGAATAAGTCTATTGCATCTTTCAGTAAATTCACAGTCTGTCCAGTTCACCCAGTTCCATCCTCCACCTGAGAGCAGCAAGTTGCATGTAATTACAAACAGTCCAATCCAGTTCTGAATTGTAAACAATGCAGCAGGAACGTCCATCTACTGGCATTACCAAATCTGAGGTGCAAACGGGCTGATCTTCAGTCTTATACCTGTCAAGATATAAAAGAATTTGAGGAATGAGAAGGAAGCACACAATGCAGCAGAACTAACAAATTATAGTTATGTCAAACCAAAGTAACGTAAGCCAGACATTACTGCAGTTTAGCTATCAGTATTCACTGGTTTTGCCTGCATCCAGAGAGAACAGTCAAACAACTCATCTGTATGATGAGTAGCCTTCCCTACCTGAAGTGAGGGAAGGAAAGCCTAGAATAAATCTTACAAATCTGGATGTTTAACATAATGTCTCTGTAAACAGCACATGGGATGGCTGGATAGCTTGTGTGCTTTGGAGAAAAGTTTCAGGGTCTGCCATTCTGAAATTAAAAATACTTTCTGAGGGAAACTGATGTAAATCCAGCTTTTGTCAGCAAGATCTTCAAAAGGAAGATATGGTATTTGGGTCTGCTACTGGGAATGAAGCATCTAACTATCATTTGTCTTTGAAAACCCTTTCTGTTAGTCTTAAACTTTTAATATTGTTGGTTGACTTATATTCCAGCTTGCCTTCAAGCAGAAATCTGATATCCACCCTGGCAAGGGAGACAGAATCCTGCAGATCTGACTTCACAGGTCGCTGCTATATGGCACAGCAAGCTTCTCCTTGGAGTCTCTAACTGAAACTAGCACTAATGGTGACTACGCTGAAAGAGACAGGTATTGGTTTGTGATAAACTGCTTTTAACTTCGCTTTGGGCCTTTCTCTAAAGTGTCAGCAATCAGTTTGGAACCAGCTGAATCTTCAGTAGCTACTTTTTTTTTTTTTTTTTAGTCTTCTTCACTGCTAGACACTTCCTTCTTGTGTACTGTTCTCTGCCTTTTCAAAATAATGTCAACATCTAGATACTTAAGAAACAGCATTAAATTCTGTTACAGGCATGAATATGTAGCTAGATCTTAAATGCCAAGAGGTTGACATTTCCTTTCATGTCTTATTACAGACTTACTAAATAGCTGTTCTGCCTATCCACTAACACATTTGGTTACTTTTCATCTTCTGCTGGAAAGCTAAAGCTTTACTTGTTGTCACTGAACAGAGATTATCTATTGTAGTAATGGGGGTGAAAAAAAAGAAAATGCACAGCTTTACATCAGTGGGCCCATGAACTTTTTTCTTTTTTTTGCTGATTAAGAGGAAATAATCCTATGATATATTGAATCTTTATGGGCTGACATCCAGTGCTTTCATCTCCCACCGACTTATCCAAACGCAGAATCTCTGGTTTAATAAAATCAGAGCTGTTCATTTCTTTATTTTTCCCCCACTATATGTTTTGTTTTCTTGGGCACTCCTGCATGCCATTGAAGAGATGAAGGTGTATGCTGAGATCCCTGAAAACAGAGCATCATTCTCAGATGACACTCTAAAGGATAAATTTGCCTCTTTTACTTTGTGAATTTGTTTGTTCATTGGTCTGCTTGCTTACCTCTGTGGCTATGATGCACTCATTCCTTTCTTCTGTTATCACGAAGACAGACTGGTACATTGAGTCCCTTGGAGAACATATCGCTGATATTCTACATTCTGGCTTTTCACTAAAGCAGGGCAGAGAGAAAAAGGTGTTATTTGGCTTCTAACATGCCTGACTCTGAAATGCTACCATGAATATGTAGGCGTGGAACAAGATAGCTGTGGAGGTGAGAGAGAGGAGGGCAAAGGATGAAGTTTCACATGTTCTATATGATGGCAGGACATTACTTTAGGGAAGTGGAAGTGAGGAACGGCTACTTGTCTTGCTAGATTTCTGCAACGTCCAATTTAGTCAAGTACTCCTCAAATCCCTCAGTGCAGAGCAGTCACAAGCAGAACCCAGGCAAGACTTTGATTATGCATATCAGAATATAGAGGAGCCAATAAATAGCTGCCCTTTTTTTTGAAGGGAGAAGTAATTTTCACTCTAATCTTTTTTTCAGCGTTTTCTTAATAAGCAAAATACTTATTTTTAAATCACTATTTGCTGTAGTATCACTTCTCTTTGATTTACTGAGGAAGGAAACATACTTCTTTCTTTCATCACCAGACTGGTTCCCTTCACAGCATTCATGTTACCAGCATACTGTGCACAAGCTTTCAATTAATTTAGCTATGGATACTACTTGGCCATGGCACTCATACTTCAGTTCAGAATTCCTGCCTTTGCTCTGGTTTGTTTTGTATGTTCTCTCCCTGAGTTAAATTTTTTGTTTTCTCATCTGCATCTAGGCCAGTGTGAAAGTGTGGGGCTTCCAAATGCTACAAGGAAGGCTGAATTCTTACCTGTGTAGTCGGAGTGGAGACTTCTCTCCTAAACACTTTTCACTTTTGTAATATTTATCTTCCTGTGTCCCTCTACTCGTCAGATCTTTTACTAGATTGTAGTCCAGTTTATGATTCTTGGGTTTGTAGTTTGACTTCTCCAGCCCACAGTCCACTTCAAGGTCTTTATTTTTATTGGTGTTTTTGAGCTGGGAAGCTGGAATGAGATTGTCCTTCTGGAAGTCAGACAGATTGTTCATTGTTTCCAAGTCCTGCTGTGGGTGCATCCTCATCTGCCTGATGACCATTGCTATCATGCAGAACAGTATGAGCAAAGCCACCAGCCCCACTCCCATGGATATAGCAATCCAGGGGACTGGTTTAGGAGGAAGTGTGATGGGCACTGAATAAACTGGTAGTTCACAACGGCCACCCATGAAGCCAGAGGGACAGTAGCAGACAAAGTTGGCACTATAAAGTCCACTGTAGCATGTGCCTCCATTCTCACATGGCCCCGAAGCACATTCATCTCTAGTCTTGATGTCACAGTTCCTGCCACTATAGCCTGGCAAGCACGTGCAGGTGTAGTCATTGATCAGGTCGTGACAAGTTCCCCCATTGGAACACGGGTTCCTGGCACAGTCATTGATGTTAATCTCACATTTCTGACCAGAGAAGCCAGCCCGACAACGACACACACGAATCTGACCAAGGTAAAAGCAATTACCATCTGAGGAAAAAAAGAAGTAAAAAAGAAATCAGTATGCAGTGTGTTTCACTTGGAAACATAAAGTTCTCCCACCCTGTAAGCATTATATACTACCTCAAGAAGAGGGAGATTATTTTACAGAACGATGCATCTAAAGCTTCCTTCTAGCTTACCGATCACTCTTTAATACCATGCCACTTCTAAATGTGTAATAATGTTGGTTTAATGTACATAATGCTTTCCCATTCTGTGATAAAGCTTATGCACTCTTTTCTTACATAGAAAATGCCAGTGAAATTCCCCCGCAAGAGACCAAAATTAGGATAGATGTAAAATACAGTGAGGGAGAGGGATTAATGTATTAGAGGAAGTGTAGAGGTCAGATTGGATTTCTATCACTTCTGCACTGAAAAGCACAAACAAGTGAAGAAGCCATGAGACTTTTTTTGATAAAAAAGACTCACCATTTGCACATGGGTTGCTTGTGCACCTGTCTACTTTTTTTTCACAGTTTGACCCCGTGAAACCAAAAGGGCAAACACAAGTGTAGCTGGCTCCTTGTTCTTTTTCCAAGCATGTGCCTCCATTGAAGCACGGAGAATCGATACATGTCAAAGCACTGTGCTCACAGTGAGCTCCATAGTAGCCAGGGGGGCAGGCGCAGCGATAACCATTCTCCAAATCCTGCAAAACACAACATTAGGCCATTGTTATTTGATGCCACCAAACGATAGTTGTGCCTGTGTTTCTTTTTGGTCAGCAGCGAGTGCTGTTCTGTCCCACTTCATTCACACTTGGACGCGGCAAAAGCGGCATTTGTAGAGTAAATGACTGCAAGCTGGATTGTGGGGGACAGGGCTGTGAACTGGCTGTATTTGGCACATAGGAGTAATCATGCAACTACACAAGCAGAGCAGATACAGTTGTAGGGAGCCCAGAGGCAACTAAGCAAAAACAAGACTAATGCCACTACTGTCTAATGGGATCCCCAATGTCCTTCTAGAGCAGCATAACATATGCCAACCTACACAGCTGCAATCAGGACATCTACCCTCTCCATAAGAGCTCCTCCCCTCCCCCCCCTTTTTTTTTTAAAGGGGTTATTTTGCTTTGCCATGGAGAAGTCCCACCACTTAGGTTACAACAAAACTTGTCTCTTCTTTATAAGCAATATATATCCAAGGCCTTGAGAGAAGGCAATTAGGAGGTCTCAGAGCATTAGCTTTAACCAAAACATGCATCAGATTACATCTGATATCTGTAAGCTATCAGTCTCTATCAGCAGGCAGGATCAGTTATTGACTGGGTCTGAAAATACACTGCAACACGAGAAAACTGAAAATACAGAACTTCATTTCACAAGAAGTGTTTTGTCTGATTGCCCTTGTATCAACTGATGCTGCAGCCCCATAGCTGAAAGACGACATTTTCTTTTACTTGCTATTAAAATATAGCCTTAGCACATTTCTTTATGAACATTGGTTTGGAAAGCCCTTTTTTTTTAATTTTACAGATACACTCCCTCATGAGCCTTGGATCTTGCCAGGATCTCATAATGGCTGCCACAGAAACCTAAGGATCAGTTGACTAGTTCTAATCTAGATGATACATCTCCTCCTGTAACAGACTTCCTCCCCTGACACATCCAGGGAAGGGTTCAGAATGATAGTTGTGAGAGTCAGTAATGAACCTGTGTACTATCAAATTCCCATTATGTTGTTACAAAACCATTTCTGAAAAGGTATACTGGAGCTTGTTTCACACAAAGACTTTACGTTTAAAATGCCCTTACTGTGCAACTACCGCCGTTCCTACAGGGATTGCTGTCACACTCGCTGATCTCATGTTCGCAGTCAACACCAGTAAAGCCAGGTTTGCATGAACACGTGTAGCTGCCCTGGCCAGTGTTCATGCAAGTTGCTCCATTTTTGCACGGTCTGTGGTGAGTGCAGTAGTTCAGATCTGCAAAGATACCAGGTGTTAGAAGAAAGTGTTTGACAGCTGGCAAAAGACATTCATACAAAAACACCTTGATCAACAAAGAGTTTTAAATGAAGTCTTCAATTTTGCTACCAATAAAAATACTGGGGATTCTTATCCAGGTAATTATCAGTTCTAATCAGATGTTTGAGACTGTTATGAATTTTACATGTCTACTAATCGAGCTCTGAATTTTGAGAAACTTATCTTTCTCAGTGCTTTGGTATGTCCTCCCTTTTTGGGGGGCGCAATCCCATTAACTGTAAAGATGCCAAAGTGAAAAAATGTATTCCAAATATTTTCTCAGAAAGACACTCTGAGGCACTGCAGACACTCTGTGCACAAAATGTCACACAGTAGAAGAGCTAGCCCTGTCATTAAAAGGTGTGCTCCAAGGCACATTCTGGGAAGGCAGGAAGGAAACAGAAGTATTTAGGCTTGGAGATTTAAACAAACATTGGAAATATTTTATTGTTTATTTACTGTGTTCTGTTGTTATGAATGTTATTAGTTTAAACTGTTTAAATGCTCTGCCAAATAGATGGTTGTTTTTATTTTCCCTTTCAATTTGAGGCAGAGGTTAAGCACACAAGTCCATATCACGTAAGTAGAGAATCTTTATAAGCACTATAAATGTCAGAGTAATGGAAATACAATTGGTTAATAGGTAACTACCAACAACAACAACAAAATCTGCACCTTTACTTTTCCTGCTTAATTCAGACTTCCCTATCTCAATCCTATAAATGTCTTGCAAACACTTGACTTGTTCTGAGTACTTAATGATCTCAGTGCCAGCAGTGCATATATGGCCTTGAGGACATGACTGCTCAGCTGGCTACAGTTCAGTGATTCACTGGGTTGAATAGGTGGAAGTGGTCTGGTGTACCTTAAAATGGAACCTGTACTTTTCATTCTTGCTTACATGATTTTTCTCTCATGCTCTAGACTTATCACATGAGTTAACTTCCTTGTATGCAAAATAAGGAAGGCCAAATTATGGTGTTTACTGCTGCTGGAAACTGTTTAGTAAATTGTTATCATTGTACAGGGAATACATTAAACTTAGCTTGAGAAAGCAGAAAACTTGCCCACTCACCACTCACCCAGGTGGTGTTTTTCTCTTGAAAACAAGAGCTACCAAAAAGGCTTGGTTGTTTTCCGCCAAAACTGCTACAAATAAAGAATTGGTATCTGAGACAGCTTTGGCACAAAATAACGCCTCTCTACACGCACCGTACACAAATTTTATTCTTGATCAGATTCCTTGGTTCCAGACCGAGGAATATCCAACCCAGAGCCCTAAGCACAACCCTCAGAACCAACCTTGATCACAGAAGAGGCCACCCCATCCTTCGTCACATATGCACTGCCATTGTGTTTTACAAGTCCCATGGCGGCAGCCTATGTGGGGAATGCATTCATCGCAGTAGCGGCCTTGCCAACCAGAACGACAGCTACAAGAAAAGTCAAATTAAAGCATTAATGACATGGAAAAGAGTTTAAGTTTCTATTACAAGTTGACATTTTAATTGAAATTCAGAGTGCGATTGCCATCTACTCACATGCACTCTCCAGGCTTGGTGCAATATCCATTCTGTTCGGCACATCCAGACAGACAGATGGCTGTAAGGAGGACAGGAAAAAAAAAGCAGAAATGTTTAGGTAAATACATGTGGCACGACAGAATATACTTGTAAAAGGGGGAACGCCAGCTTTTAAAAAATACTTTGGAAACCAGTTTTGCACTTCCAAAGCTTTGTTTTAAAAGCTCTCAGTACGGGAAGTTCTGGAGCAGAAGGAAGTGAACAGGGAGAGCCAACGTCTGACAAGCTGTCTCTTAGTTTTTCAGTTTACACAACAAACACAAACTCTTGCAGCTCTCTCAAAAAGCAGCAAGAAGCGCTTACCCTAACAAAAGACTGCAGAAACCCAGCAGGGCCCTGAGCCCTGATTCCCGCTATGACAGCCCAACACCTGCCCCACCACTGGCAGCAGAAGTGGAAGCCTCTGCAGACAAGCTGCTGGCAGCATAACTTGGGATAGGTACGACTGACTCAGATATCATCTCTTCTCTGCTGGTTCTTCACTACGTGTAGAGGTGCAGCATGACACTGGCAGCTGCAGCAACAACGGGGCAAAGTCCTCAGCATGCCACTTTTGATCTCCTGGCACGGAGTGGAAAGGTCAGTGTGAAAGCATAGCCCGAGTCTCCACCAGGTGCACTGCGCTTTGTGGGCACAAGCAAACATGCTGCATCCAGCATGGGGCCTCCTGATGCACTTGCTGCACAACGCACTTTAGGCCCAGGGTACCTTCACCAAACAGCTCCCTGAGTTTGCCTTTCCTCAAAGGCCTCTTGACTTGCATTCTTGTCTAAGTCTATGGCTTGGGTTAGACTAGAGGAAGGCAGAAGGAAGCTGCAGAAGGTGTGCTAGACACCAGTGGGACAGGCCTGCCCAGTGCACGGGACAAGGGGCAGCACATCCCACCAATGTGATCCCTCCAGCTCTCACTGAAGCGAGGCAGCTGATGGGCTGATGCAAATAGGCTGCGGGGCCTGGGGAGCTGGCCAGGCAGCCACCGCTGGTACGGCACGGAGCAGCACTTACGCTTGGTGCAGTACTCGCCGGTCCAGCCGGGCAGACAGGTCAGGCTGCCATCCACCTCGCAGACATAGTGCCCAAAGCGGTCGTCGCGGCGCTTGCAGAGGCGGGAGCAGCTCTCTCCGTAGTAGTTCTCGCTGCAGACCACGCGGTAGGAGTAGCGCAGCTGGGTCAGCAGGCTGCTCTGCACATCCTGAGACCAGACCTCTCCCACCGCCAGCGACCGCTGGATGGCCATCTGGCTGATGAGCCACTCCTCCGGCGGCGGCCGCGAGCCTGCGGGACAGCAAGTAGCGCATCAAGCTGCGGCCAACACCAGCGCCACGTCCACCACCCACCCTGGGAACCCACGTGTGTGCCACAGGGCACCGCGCCGCCCCGGTCCCCGCCCCAGCGAGGAGAGATGGAGCGCTTCAGTAGGAATAGAGCGGGGTCAGCGTGCCGCTGCCCTGAGGGATGGAGGGAGCGGGGTCGGTGTGAGGGAGGACCCGTAGCCGAGAGCCCAGGCCGAGGGGGCTCCGCGTCGAGGGCTTTCAAAGTGCTGCTGGAATATCCTTTTCCTCTCTTGTCAGAAAAACATCCCAAAGCCATTATTCCTTTCCAAAGGGCGGAATTCGAGAAAGGTGTAAAATACAGGAAAAGGCGGCCGGGGCTCTTTGGCAGCCTCGCGGCTTTCTCACCGCTGAGCTCCTTTCTTTCCCACGCCAAAAATAAACCGCAGGAAACGCAATTGTGTTGGAGATTAGGTCGGGACAGAATCAAAGCGGCCCCTGACGGGCATCGTTTGGGGACTAACTCCTGATGGTCGGATAAAGCCGGCCCCGAAATTATCGCATAAACATCTGAGCCGGGGGCGGCGGGGCCGGGCTGCCGTTAACCGTTTCGGGGCGGGGGCGCGGCGCTCACCTTGCGGCAGGTAATTGGCGGGCGCGTGCCAGGCCTGGATGATGAGCGAGAAGGTCCCCTGCGGGCAGAGAGCAGAGAGCAGCGTCAGCACAGCGCGGCGCGCCCGCACCCCGCCCGCACCGCACCGCCCCGCACCGCGCCGCTCCGCTCGGCCGAGGAGCGCGCCCGCCGCCCCGCGCTGCTCACCGGCCACGTGAAGTTAAAGGGCAGCTTGATGGGGCTGTCGAACCGCTCCGTATCGCGGATGCTGAAGGAGTTGACCCCCAGCACCGGGGTGATGATGCTGCCGAAGGTGCAGGAGCCCGGCGACACCACCGCCTGGAAGTGCTTGAGGCAGACGCGGAAGAAGGTGCGGCAGTGCGGGGCGCAGGGCTCTCCGCTGGCCAGCGCCCCGCGGCTGTTGACGAACTCGTGCAGCTTCAGCTGGAAGACGCCGGAGCCGGACGCGCTCTGCACAAAGGAACACAACACAGCCCCGTCACACCTCGGCCAGCACCCACTGACACCTCGCCAGCCCCTCTCGCCGTCTCTCCGACCGTTACCTGCTGCAAAAGCACTAACAGCAGCGTCAGGCCGCAGGCGCGCCGCGCTCTCATCCTCGAGCCGCTCGTTCTGTATTCCCCAAAAGCTCCGCCGAGCGCGGAGAGCGGCGCTGCCCGCGGGCCGGAAGGTAAATCCAGGTGCAGCCGTGCCCTCGGGGCGCCAATCCTGCGCTTTATAACTCCAGAGCCCGCGGGCTGGGAACGGGGACGCCTCGTCGGGACGGCTCCTCCTTCGGCGGGTGCCGGCAGCGCTTGGTAAATGGGAAACTTGCTTTCCTCCGAGCGGTTTATATAGTTGCCTCGCATCCTCGCGAGCTCATTATGTAAACTGTCAGTCAGCGCGCGGGCGATCCCTCCCCTTTTCCATCTTTCCTTTCTGGAAAACGGAGCCCGGTGCTGCGGGAGCCCTCGGGTCCCGCACTCGAATCCCGCTGCCGGCGCTCCGCGCGGGGCCGGACAAACCCCTGGCCGCTCGGCTCTGTACCCCCCCGACGGCGGGAGCTCCGAGTGGCGGGGTTCGACGTGTTCCCCGAACTCACCCCGTCCCTCCCGCCCGCGCCCCGGGGCTGCTCCTCGGGCAGAAGGCAACGACCGGGTCGAGGCGCCCGAGGCGCGGCTCCCCGACGGCCCCGGGGCGGGGGGCTCGGGGGCTTCGGGGAGGGGGCCGGGGCAGGACCGCTGGCGGCGTTGTGCCGCTGCCGGGCCGCGCTCCGGCGTGAGCCAGTAAAGCCTTGGCCTGATTGCGGCGTGCGCTTATTGTTGGGTCGCGTGTCCCTCATTAAAGCCGAGCACAGAGAAGGCCTTTCATGTGGCTTTTTATTTCAGCTTGTTAAATGGATGGGAGGCCGGAGGGGGGAGGGAGAGATAAACCCTCAGCTGTATGGTAATGAGGCCTTGCCACCTTTGTGCCAGCGTCGGGCTCGCCCGGCTGCGAACCTTTCCGGCGTGGATCACCTGGGGAGCAGCCCTCGGGCTCCACAACTCTCCCAGAGGCGCTCCTGGTGCAGCGGCGATTCCACGGATCGGGCCCTTTGGGGGAGCGCGATAAGGAGGAAGTCCCAGGGTCCGGCTGGCTCGGCACCGGGCTGAACCCTCGGCCCGGCCACTCCCTGGAAGCGGCCCCGGGTCGGGATGCGGGCCCCGGGGGAAGAAAGGCGCGGGGTGCCCGCGAGGGCGTGAGGCACACGCCGGGAACCCTTTGTCTGGACCCGTAACCGGGTCGGGAGGAGGAATGTGCCGCCGCCGGGGAGCTCGGAATTTTGCAGCGATCCGCCCGGCCAGATCCCGGCTTTACCAGCAGCAGCGTCAACTGTCAAAATCAAATCTGATGCTAATAGCTTCGGTACTAAATAAAATGAGAGGCCAGATAACATCAGTGCTTGATAAATGGTAATGAGTGTCTAACCTAGGGGAACAGAAGGGCTGTGGGGCTCTTTAATTCAGCATTGAAAGGCTAGCTGGGTACTGCGGGCTCTAGCAGATGTTAGTATGTGTGTGTTTTGATTTTTGACTTGTATTGGACGTTTATTAGGCTAACCAGAGCCACCCCACGCATGGCCACTCGGCCCAGGCACCATCTGGCACAAGCAGGGCGGCGCGCAAGAATAGGGCCTCGCTTCGGCGCTGGGGATCCACGGGCAGCATCTACCATATGGACCCGCGGCTAATGTAGGTTACGGCGAGGCGAGCGGGGCTCCGCTCCTCGCAGCTCCGCAGAACTCCCTGCGGTCCCGCGCCGCGCACTTCGCCCCACTCCCCGATCCCGGCACCGAGCGGCTCTGCCGGGCAAACGTTTCCCGGAGCCGGAGCGAGCGGTTGCGATAGGGGCGTAAAATGAGACTCCGGGGCGTTGTTGTGATTGCGGCTATAAAAAGAGCCCCTCATAAAGTAATACGCGGGGAATATAACAAACCACCTGCTGCATGTTGACACACGCACACGGACTTCAGAAGGGAAAGAAAAAAAAAAAAAAAAAGTTGCGCTGATAGCATCGGGCGGCTGTGCCCGAAAGGCGGAGAGCGGGAGCGCGGCGCTCCCCACTTCCCCGCGCCCGATGCGGGGCACAGCGGGGGGACACCGCAGAGCCCTCCTGCGGGCCGCGGGCCCCGGTGCTGCCTTCGGGCTGCGTTTTGGGGCCGTCTCGCTTAGAAACCTGCCCGTTTGTTCAGCGCCAGCTCTTCCGTGCGCTGCGTGAGCCGCATCCCCCGGTGGCTTTTAAACTCCTTAGCTCGAAAGTTGCGCATCGACTCGGCGCTGACACACACCGAGAGAGCCTAAAGAAAAAAAAAAGAGAGAGAGAAAAGGAAAGAAAAATCCCTCTTGCTTGTTTTGTTTCTGCCTAAATGGCCGTAGCGCGGAGCATCTCTCCAGGGAGAGCCGCTCCGAGGGGTGTTAATGTGGTCGATTTGGGGTACAAATGTTTGGAAATGTTTCCCGATTCGCACAGAAGGAGGGGGGATTTGCAAACTGTTGCTGCCACATGGCTCCTCCAGCCTGTCCATTCTCATTGTAATGAGGCCGGCGCGTGCCTCATCTGCCGCGCGGGCGCTGCCACGGGCCGGCCGGGCACGCCGCGTGCCAACTGGGACAGCGCGGCTCCGCACCGCTCCGCGCCGCTCCGCTCCGCTCCGCCCGCGCCGCCCGGCCGGCCCCACCCCGCCCGGCCCGACCGCCCCCCCAGGAGCAGAGCTCGGGCAGCGCGGCGGCGTGTGCCCAGTGAGCCATTGTTGCTCGGAGCCGAGCCCATAAAAATAAGAACATTTCTATTAGAGGGTATAACGATCACTATTGAGCCTCTCGCTACAAATCGATGGCTTCTTTTCCATACAAATGCCTGCTTATGCCTTTATGTTCTCCATCTGTTTGTAGCTAACACCTGCCATTCAATAAATCGATTTGGCCATTTAATGTAACAGCTTCCCGGGACATTTTTTCGTGCCAGATGCCACAGCAGCTCCAAACCTCGCCCCAGCCCCTCGCGGGGACCCGCTGCCCAGGCACAGGGCTGGGGCCGGCACCGCGCTGCAAAGCTCCCCTTGGTCACTCGCTCTTCTCTTCCGCTTGCTTGTGGCCGGTGTGACCGATCCCGTTTTATTTAGCGCCCTGTTACCGCAGAGGAATCCGGCCAACGCCAGGCTGGGCAAGTGGCTCTCGGGGATGCAGTTTTGGTGCTGCTGAGGCTTTGTGCGCTTCCTGTAGGTGTGCTAGGAGTGCCTTTGGAAGGCAGCTGTATTGCTTTAGATCTGAATGAACGCAAAAAAACAAAACACTTAATACAAACAGTTCTAGATGTGGCACTGAGGGATTTGGGTAGGGGGTCTGGCGGGGCTGGGCTGATTGTTGGACTTGGTCTACTTAGTGGATGTGGAATTAGTTGTCTTTTCCAATGTTAGTGGCTCTATCATTCTACGATTCTATGATACGAGCAGATTTCACTTATGTGGTTCTGTTTGACGAGTAACTCGGTGCAAGCTGTAGGCACCACCCTCAGTGCAGCTGTCAGTAAAAGCCTGATTTCCTATAGAAGCTCGCTTGGAGGCCTGTGGTCCCTCAGCACTCTCACCTAAGATGGATGAGCAACACTGGGAGCTCTCATAAAAAGTGCTCCTGCGAACTGTGGCTGGAACTGAGAGACTTGAATCTTCGTTAGGTTTTGAACCTCAGAGCTGTAGGTGAGACTGGGAGGCTGGCTGTGCCTTACTAGGACCTGGTGTTTGTTTGCACACAGGGAACGTGTGGGCCAGCAGCCATGGCTGGGCCCTGCCTGGAGCAGCATAACAAAGCACAGGCTTTGGTTAAGGGAAAACCTCCCTTTGTGGGCTCCTCGGTAAGCCTCCCATGGGCCCAGCATTGGGAACTCCTGCCTCAGAGGTCTGTGTCTTCCAGCAGATGGTTGGGTTGCCCTTGGCTGCCTAGAATATGTCTGGGGCTATGGTACACAGCACTAGGATCTCTTGAAGGAGGCTGGTAAGTGGCTGCTGTAACCACTTTCCCTGCTCCCTTGGTAGGCTGGCATGAGCTGGGAGCTGTGGAAAGTGCAGGACAGGATATAGGGTCCTCTCTAGAGGCTGGCACAGCAGCAGGACGAGGGCTGTGGGGCTCACAGCATTGCACCTGCATGCACACCAGGGGAAGCTGGTCTGAGCAGCTGCAGCTCCTCAGAGCTGTAACAGTGAAAGGTATTTAAATACAGCTGGACACGTAGGTAAGGAGACTCCTCTTAAAATCCTGGTGCTGGAGGTAAAACTTCCTAATGAATAACGAGAGAAAGACCATCCTGACTTTTACCCGTGGCACTTTTCTTTACTTCTAGTTAAAAAAAAAAAAAAAAATTGTTAACCAGCAGCAGCTGCTTTTGCAGGCCATCAAAAGTGATCCTGGATTGTCCAGATGGAGTCACTCAAGACAGAGACGTGAGCGAGGGCTGCCCCTGGCTCCAGGATTTCTGGGTTTGTCCTATTTTAAGAAGATCTACTGTCCTGCAAACGCTGCTTGTGGGAAATGATTGGATGCAGGAGTCCTTGCGGGGGCCCGCCAGGCAGCCTCATGTGGAGCTGCGGCGATGCGGCATGCTGACATTTTGACATAACGTGGTGATGATTTTGTGCTAGCATCGGCCCTCCGAGAGGAAAGTAAATATGTGACATATTGTTCGGGGAAACAAAATAAACCAAACAATGAGGTCCTGTGCCCAGCGACTGATGCAGGCTCTGCAGGCCCATGCAGACCCTCTTTTCCTTTGTGATCCGGGGATGCTGGGAAAACGAGTGCGTCGGGGTATCCGACACCCATTCCTGGCCCATCCAGCGCTCCTCCTTTTTGTCTTTGTGTGCGGCCATGCAGGGAGCGAACACAGAGCACCCGCTGTGTTCCCATTGTTTCTCCTGTCTAATGGCCCTACTTAGCCATGGAGGAGCGGGATGGATTTGCGCCTTGTGCACATTGTTCTTGGGGTTCAAAAGAATACTTAAACTAGAGCAGTAGTTAGTATGACAATGGAATAGAAATGAACATTCACTCCAGTGGCTGCGGATGGCACAAGGGCTTAGATAATAGAACAAGGGAGAAGAAAATTAATGAATCTGTCTGTTGACCCATCAGCATAAATATCTTGTCAGTCACATGTGACAGCAGATCTGTGTGGATGGCAGAAGCTGTGCTTGCCCAGGCTCCCGCTGATGTTCCTTAAATCAAAAGTTTCATCAGGTAATTTAGCAGGCTGGAGATGGCTGGCCCTTGACTGCATAGCATGCTCTAGGTGGATCAGCAATAAATGCTTATTTCAAGTGTCCAGTCATACGAAGCAATGCTGCTGAGAGCACGGGGTACCTGATTCTTTCCTGCTCAGGTGCCCGTGGTGGCCGTGTCTCCTGCAGCCTTGGCTGATGTGAAGAAGTGCAGA